ATAAAATCAAAGATTAAACAATCGAAATATTTTTATTTTAAAAAAGATTAAAACGTATCAGTAATGGAATTAAAATTCAAATATTTCATTGGTATTTTATTTCGATACATTTACATAATTATTTCGGAATATTTCAAGGTATTTTAAAGATATTTTAGTATATTTTGACCAATATTTTTAAAAAAATAATGCTCAATTTTTTTTATTTTTTTTATTTCTATTATATTTTCGAAACAAATCGAAACGAGTCAAAATAATTCCATTTTTCGAGATGACCAAAACAATATACCAAAATAAAATTTACGGTAATTGTGCTTAGGAGGAGTAACCCCATAGCCAAAATATTATTTATGTGGGTTAATAGTAATTCGAACTCCAACTATACAAATTTATTAATCAAATAAAGAAAATATCTTAGAGAAAGAATGAACGTAGTGCAAGATTAGGGGCAATTAGTTAAACTTAAACAATAATCCTAATCTATCTATTTATAATTAAGAGGGTATAGGTGATGCTGTAATTACTGAAAGTTACCAAACATTAGGAGTAATCTTTGTTATACATAAATTAGGATTGAAAATTTGACCAATAAAAATACACCAAGTAATAGTTTACATAATTACAATCAACAAAAAATCATGAATTTAGGAAATTATTATTATTAAGAGTAAATAACAAACTCAAATAATAGAAAGGTGTTACATAAGATTTTTTACAAATTTAAGAAATGAGGGATGAAGATTTGAAGTTCAAAGATGTAGTTAACATGAGTAATCGATATAATAAAATATAACTCGTTTTAAATTTCTTAATTTAGCTTAGCACAATAGTGACTAAGATTCAATTAATTTGATGGCTTAAAATAATCAACATCTTTTTTTTTTTTTTCTAAACTTGAAAATCTCACTCAGCTTATACATTTTAAAGCTAATCAAGGCCAAATTCTCATTGATTTATATAATAAAGGGAGAGATAGCAGTTTGAACCTTCTCTTCATATATCATTTTTCACTCAATTTCCATCACATTACCCATTCTTTATGACAAGTTAAATCATTTAATTTTTGACTTAATATAATTTTTATTTCAAATATGATTCATAGAGTCTAACACATGTTGATATTTCGTTAGGGTCGTTTATTTTGAGAAAATTTATCATTTTTTAAAAAATAATAGATAGAATTAATTTTAAATTATATAATTAAATATATGGGATGGGATCGATTTTTTTTTTAAATAATAGATAGTAGAAAAAAAGACATTGTCATTTTATAATGAGATCGATTTTTTGGACACTCAAATTTTATATTGCATCGTATGTTTAGACAGGAGTTATGACTAGTTATTAGGTATCACATAAGAGTAATGTTATTTAGAACTAATTTATTAACCTAATCACTCATAACCATTGGATTGTCAATGACTTCTAGTATTTAGGACCAAATAATCAATACAACAATTGTGATGGGTTAGATTACCAAATTAGATTTAAATAATATTATTAATCACATAATTGGAATAACTACTGGATTATGTAGGATTCATTGATCTTTTTTGTTAGTTTATTATTATTATTATTTGTTTTTTTATTCAACAATCAAAGATGTCTGAATCAGCTTACGTACACTTCAACTAATCATTTACTATATTTGGTCAAAGATAAGTTATCCACGTCAGGAGTAGAGTATTCATGAGAGATAAATTCATCATGGTCTAATCTCAAGAGGTTGTCAATATTCGAATTCAGGATGTCTGAGTTTACAATTCGTCTGTATTATTACTTGAACCATCCCATGAAGTTTATTATTGTTAGTTTATTATTGAACGATGACATTACGTTAGAGTGCTAATATGATATCACTGTTACATCGAGTAATTTCTTGAAAATGTATCACTATTATAATAAACAAATATTTCTTATTTTTGTTAATTTCACTATAATAGCGAAAATAACAACGCCAACGTCTAAAACATTTTCTCAATTCGAAATCTCATGAGACCAAAACAAGATAGTCCTGTGAAGGGGAGGCATTCCATCCACATGAGCCATGCGGGTTTAGAGTGTCATCCCATGACCATGCTTCCCTCCATACATGTGATGATATTAAGTTCTCTAATGATTATTATTATTTTTTTTTTTTTGGGAGTAAGGCACTATTACAGGATAAAAGAAACGATGAGTTTCGTGCCTACGATCTTAAAGTGTAACAGTGATTACGATGTACATTTACCGTTCATTTTTTTTTCAAATTGGTAATAAAGATGCATAAAAATTGGGTGTTAAGAAAATTTCGGTGAGATGGAACCACAATGTTCTATTTGTATTGTAAAATTCTTTGTTCATATTTTCAGTTTTCCCAACTCCACCGAGCTAATAGTCTAGTTGACTTAGTAGAGGGTGCTCTTTCGGTGGTCATGGTTTGAATTCATTTGTGTTAGTAGTTTATGATAATTAGATACCGTTACGGAAGTTGAATATTCAATTTATCCTCAATGATATTGTGGTAACGGACTCGATTATTTTCAATTAATAACTATAACTCAATCTAAACATTCTACGACAAGTGTGAACTTCAAACTAACATCTTGTGAGTTGCTTTGCCTGGTCTTTTCCAACCGCTTTTTTCCTCGAGCCAAAAAAAAAATAAAAAAAATAATGAGTTCCCGGCTGCAAATGGTCCAGAGATCTACACCTAGAGGTTGGTCAACTTTGAACAATGAAATCTGTTTTCTTTTTTTTTCTCCTTTTTTACAACTATGTTCGACCCTCGAGTGGGCTTAGTAATCAAATTTTTTATCACAAGGGTAGAATTTTGAGTCTTGAAATCTATATTAATGCTCGGTGGTTGACTAATTCATTATTATTGTCGGATTAATAGTAGATCTTAATATTGTATAAGAATCCAACGTTAACAATGAATTAAATCAACAATTAGATTGAATTAACATATTATTGTTTACGATGTGCGATAAAATGCTTAAATACCTCCTTGTCGTCCCCAAAACAAAAATCTAATGAATTATGACTTAACAATGGTACCGAAAAAAAATTTGTTATCGTATCTCAAAAAATTATTATTTTAATAGGTGTTTTTACAATTTTTGTGGGTCATTTTCAATCAAAAATTTATCACTTTTGTTAGTATTTTTATAACTATGATGGACATTTTTACCATTGTTGTGATAATTATTTTTATCACTTTTCTTCTAAACAAAAAAAAAATTGTACTTTTATGGGTGATTTATTACATTTGTGGACGTTTTTACCATTATTGTGGTAATTATCTTTGTCACTTTTTTTGGTTATACAGTGATAAAAATATCCATAAATATAATAAATATCGATACATTACTATTTTTTTTTTGATACCATAACAGTGGATTACTACTAGTTGGTCCAATACTCCAATGTGAACACCTTTTATGGGTCTAAGAGCACAGGCAACGGTCCAAGGGTTGTTCCTGTTTGTTTTGACCTTAGATTACTTGTTCCTCTTTTGGACTTCTAGTTCCCTTTCAGATTAGGTGCTACAATTTTTTATCCAGTTTTCACATTAGCTTGCTGCCTACTGTTACTTTAATTTTGGTAGAGGACCTATGAATTGGCTTGATGAAAGTCATTCGAAATCGACATCGAAGCTAGTTCTTGAGATAAATAAGTTAAATTTAAACTTTAGTTAAAATTCATCTCGAGTTCAACTCGATCTTACATCACAAATGTCACAACCAACTTAGTATAAGGTCTCATATTTGATGTTACACTCCTGGTTTTTCTTGATTGACGAGACATTACACTAGCATTACTGAAGTGGAAAAGCTTAAATAAGGTTCCCAATTTTGAGTTGGGATAGGAAGAAGAATGTGACATGATCCAAGGGCTCTAGGACCATTCAAGTTGCATGGCCTCAAGTTCAACTCTCCCACCTTTATCTTCTTCTTCTTTTTTTTTTTTTAGTTTAATGGCCAGGGATATACAAATCAGTTTATGCGCACCTCAATTAATCTTTTTTCTAATCAGATTAAAGATAAGTCATCAACACCGAAAACTAAATTATATTTATGTTGGATAATTCCTAATGACTTGTCCCTAAAAAGTTACCAAGATTCTACTTCAAGACAACTGAATTTACAATTTATCATCGTTACTACTTGAATTATCCCTTAAAATTTTTATCTTTTACCTCTATGTAAGAGTTGCAACTATTGGACCAAAAAAGCGATCTTTAGAAACAATATCTCGTTTTTTCTTGCAAGGAAAATGTGACAATTGAAAGATTTTTTATTTTTATTATTTTTACGCTCAATAATTATAATAAACCACAACAATATCTATGGCTAAAGAAAATTCCAATTTCAAATCACACTAAACCCAAATAGAGCTAACGAGAATCGCCTTAGTCAATGGAAAAAAAAACTCAAATTATATATCCTTTAAAGCCTACCGGTAATGGTAGGAAGAAATCATTTAGAGGTATAGTACGAAAAAGAATTCTTCAATTTTAGAAAATAAGAAAGACAAAAAAATTAGGATTATGGTTTTATTCAAGGCCGAAATATCACGTGAGGAGCTAAGCATGTACCTAATTTGAAAGAGATAAGTGATAGACAAATTACCTAGGCGATCAAGGTTTGGGCTCTATAACGTATGACGGATGAACACTAATTGACAGCTATCCCAATCAAATAATGTGGAATTCAATACATGGGCCCAGTAACTGGGCTGCTATAGGCAGCATACTATTAGCCCAACTGTTATCCCAAGCCCGACCCGTAAAGCCCAATGGGTGATTGGTTGAGTGAGAGAAGTCAGAAAGGAACAAGGGGCTTGGTTTCATCTTTCAAGGCAGTGTCAGGCTTTACAGCCATATTCATCTGTGACCGTAGATTCTCAATCCTACGGCTACAATCGTATTCACTCAAATTAGCTAGAGTGTGGATATAAAAATGGAGGAGATGAGGAAGACGGAGAAGAAGGAAGAAGGAAGAAGGAAGAAGGAGGAACGAGAGAGAGAGAGAGAGAGAGAGAGAGAGGGAGAGAGAGAAGCCCTCCCCACGGCAAACAGCCACCACCTCCCCTTCAAATTCAAAGACAGAGACAAACAAGAGAGAGAGAGAGAGAGAATTTGATATCTGTGTATCTTTGTTTTGAAGAAAACGTCTCATTTTTGTCAAAGAGATCTCATTCTTTTCCTGTGTTTGCTTTCTCTGACATGAAACACCACCATTGTAAGATGTCTTCGCCGTCTTCTTCTTGTTTTTTCATCTCTGTGTTTCCATTTTCAGCTTCCTTATTCCCTAAAAACATTATTTCTCTCTGTCTATACATCTAATGCTTCATCCTTTGAATTTGCAGGGCACTTCGTGAAGAATTTGCTCTAATTTCTCAGCAAAACTTAGATCTCGAGGTTATTTGACTGAAATTTCTCTCTCCTCCCTCTCATGCTCTGATTCTTTTTTGAGTTGTTGAGGAGAACTCAAATGGGTCTCTGAACTAATTTCATATCTTGTGCTCTTTTCAGGCAGATATGGAGAAGGAAGAGAAGAATCAGAGACCATGTAAGCCGCCAGAAACAGATTTGTTGTTACAGTGGGGTAATAGGAAGAGACTCAGATGTGTGAGGGTGAGAGACCCAGATGTCTCAGACCCATCAAACAGTGGTAGAATACGCCGGAAAATCTCATCTCGCTTTCTCACTCTTTCCAGAAAGAGACCTCTTTTCCTCCACCACCCAGTCGTCTCACCAGGTACCTTCACAAAAACAATAAAATCCCAGACTTTTTTTTTCTCCCAAATTTTCCCAGAAAATTGATAGAAGAAGAGAATTTCTGATGTGGGTATGTCTTAGTTACAGGAATTCTGAGACTCCGGCGGAGAATCGAAAGTCATCGGCGTCGCCGGAGAAAGAAGAGAGGTTTTATACGACAAGAGGGTCAGTGGTGGGGTTGGAGGAGAATGGGAAGGTTTCAGTGGAAGGTGGTGGAGGACAAGGAGGGGATGAGAATAGAGCTCTTGTTTGGCCAAAGCTGTACATTGCTTTGTCAAGCAAAGAGAAAGAGGAGGATTTTATGGCCATGAAAGGTTGTAAGCCTCCTCAGAGACCTAAGAAAAGGGCCAAAATCATCCAAAGAACACTTCTTGTAAGTCCTTTCACACATCTTGTACATATAGAAATCCAAATTATATCCTCAAATTGCAGAAGAAAAAGATGGATTTTTTATCTATGTTTTCATTGACCTCTCTCTCTCTCTCTCTCTCTCTCACACACACACACAGTACATATATCCTGAAATTACAAAAGAAAATATGAATTTGTGATCTGGGTTTTTATTGATTCTCTCTCACTCTACTTTTTTTTTTTTGGGTTCTGCTGGGGTGGAGCAGTTGGTGAGTCCAGGGGCATGGTTAACTGACATGTGCCAAGAGAGGTATGAAGTGAGGGAGAAGAAGAGCTCTAAAAAGGTATATACCTGTACTGCTACTCATTGGATTTCCTTTGATTTGAATCTTTTTTATTCATTTTTTTTTTTAGGAAAAAAGAAAATCTTCTCTTGGTGTTTCTACTTTGCTGCTTTCAATTGATGGGAAAGATTCTCCAGATTGTTGGTTGATTGTGTGTGTGTGTGTGTGTGTGAGAGAGAGAGAGAGAGTTATCCATCTTGTTTATATATTTGGGCTGTGGTTGTGATGCAGAGACCAAGGGGGTTGAAGGCCATGGGAAGCATGGAAAGCGATTCAGAATGAAGAATAATTCAATTCCAAGATGAGACTCTCTTTTAGAAATTCAGGGTTTTACCCAATTAATTGAAGTTTTGAATGGCTTGGTTGAGAAATTGGAGCAGAGAGGAGACATATGGATGAGTCTCCATTGACCTTTGTATGTGTACAGTAGTTTTCAAGTTTTGAAAATGAGCAAGTATGATTTATTTCAGATAACCCTATCTCTTGAGATGCGCTTTTGCTCAGTCTGCAGGGCTTCTCTTTCTCTCTCTCTCTCCCTCTGTGGGGTGGGGTTGCCCCGGGGTGGGGGGGGGGGGGGGGGAGGGGATATTTAATTTAATGTCTTTATAAGTACTCAAACAATTCCTCTCATATTCTTGATCTATCTTTAGTTTAGCTGTCAAAAGTGGGCGGGTTAATTTATGCGTTCTTTAACTAATTTTCTTTTCGATTTAGTTAAAAGTCATTTACGCCGAGAGAAAAATATTCAGGAGAGATTTATTCTTTATAATTTAACTTTAAAGAGTTGTTAAAATTTAAACTCAAAATATTAGGGGTAACTTAAGTTAATTTAAGGCCTAAAGTGGAAACATTAAATGAAGTTTTTTTTTTTAATTTTTAGTATTATTTTTTTAAGAAAAATTAATTTATTTTTAATTTTTTATGTGAGAGAGACAAAAGAAAGATGTGTTAATGTTGACGAGAAAGAGATTTTTATTTTTATTTTATCACATGGAGAAAGAAAGTATTTAATTTTAATTTTTAATTTTTTTTTATCCGGGAGAGAGTGTGTGTGTTTTTTTAGAGTAAATATGAGTTGGTTTTTGATTTTTTTTTTAATTTTTAATTTTTTAATGTTATGGATTAAATTATAGGGCCAAATTATTGTAATAAAATTTTTGATTGAATTTAATTTTATGGGGTTTTTTGTATGGTTTAAAACTTAATAGATTTATTATTTTTTTTGTGAATTAATGATGTACCTAAAATTATAATTATAAAACCTTTTAAAAATTTGGGACCTAAAATTCATATTTTTTTCGCTATACTGTTAGGCCGGCCCTCCAGAATGTTCAATTTCACAGCTAATTCTTGTTCCTGTTACCACGTAGGTCTATATAAATTATTCATTTCAAGTGTATCCGATTATTATCAAGATAAATTCTAAAAAAAGTTGTAAAAGTAGATGGTTGTAAGAGTAATGTGGAAGTCGGGATTCTTTTGGCTTTGTGAAGGAGATTCTCAGTTAATCATCCTTGTCTAATATGGTCCCACGCTATGGATGGATTTTCAGATTTGCTAGGGGTTGGATAAGATTGATAATTGAGTCAAGTAACTCGAATTTGGTTTCGAGAGTACTCAATTTAAACTTTTTTTATATTTTAAACGAATAAAGTTTGAATAATTTTTTAAACTCATTTAGAAAACGAGCCTAAAAAATTCTGCTCGAATTTATAAAATTCGTTTCGTTTATATGTAAAATAGTTAAGTTACTTGAGCTCGTTTTGTTTTTTAACAAGTTGAGCTGAAATAACTTTTTAAGCTCATTTAAAAAAACAAATTCAAGAATCTCAACTTGAACTCACAAAATGCAGTTCGATTATCAACCTTATTTTTTGTGGAACATTCGATAAAATTAACATGACCGTTACGGACGAATGACACTTACAAATCAAGAAATTATCCAAAATGTTTAACAATGTTTGCTTCTCATACTTAAAAAGAAAAAAATTATGTTGTTGGATTGACATTGGAGTCTAATAGTACTGAGATCAACTACTCCTAATGTGGTGTTGTTGGATTGATAGTGGTGTCTATTTAGTGCTTTTTTTTTTTTTTATAAGGTTTTGTTCTTCTTCTTTTTCGATGGGACCCCTAAAAAAATAGGAAGAAAAAAAATAAGCATTTCCACTAGGGAGTGAAATTATGCTCCCTTTCACAAAAAAAAAAAAAAAAAAAGAGAAATAAATTGATGTATTTATTAGAGCATTCGGGATTGATTGAGAGCAACTACTTGTATCAAGATCATAACCTGATCATTGTCTTATGTTATGTGCACGCAAGGCTATTCGTTAAAGTTAACACCAAATTTGTATTGAAAAGCCACATTGAGTTAGATTTCATAGTTGAGGGGTCAATTAAGAGGGGTAAAATTGACGCAAAAATTAATTAAGTAGTTTAATTGATACAATAAATTAGTTAGGGAGCTTAATTGACACATATAACATAGTTAGTCTTCAAATAAAATCCCAAATTAAGTCTACGATATTCTCTTCTGAGGTTTGATTCAACAGTTAGGGATATCTAGACTAGTTTACGCAAGCCTCGACTAATCTCCTCTACGATCCGATCGAAGACAGATCATCCACACAAAAAACTAGAGTATTCATGAGGAATAAATTCACGCCGATCCAAACTGAATACATTATGTGATTACTTCGATTGAATTTACTAACTTTATTTGTTGATGTAATCACACTGTTATTGAATTCCAGATGGATATCATCATTGGTTAGAAACTGCTCCTAATTCAATGACTATGAAATATGAATACATTAAATTAGCAAATAAGGTTATATGTATTGATAGGGACTCGTGGACACTAAATCCAGCTGAATTAAGTACAAAGGATCTGCCATTAGTAGGATGAAAAAATTATACCAGATTGTATCCAAATCTTCTCAAGTAGATCAGAAAATTAACCAATTTAGAACTTCACCCATCAAAGCTGCTTATTTTTGTGCATAGTTCTATTTCCATTTTACTGACTTCCCACCTTTAGAAACTACAGAATCTGCATATAAAATTTTTACAAGAAGCAGATTTTTCCTTCTATTACGAGTAACAAAGCGACCCCTTAGGCAGAAGAGCAAGGCAACGTCGCGTATACTTACAATGATACTACTGGAAACAGAGCATTTTCCATTCTTCGCGTCTTTTTCCCGTCCATGTGTGAAACAAAAAAAAAGCAATTGGTGATGGTAGCATGATCCTGCACAAATCAATAAAAACAAACAAAGAAGTTTTCTACGGTGAAAGGAGGAATGAATGTCGCATAAATAGAATAGGGATCTAATGCAGCTATTATTTCTAGATACTGACAATCATGGAGTATGCAATATGCAAGGGTTGAGAAGATATCAGAATGTCAAGGCAATATAATCATTATTGTGCTCACAATTCCAAAAGGATGGCCTACAACGTTGCGTAATAGACACTAGGAACAAGAACATCAAGGAAAATCAAGGTTGAACTGTATTTCTCAAAAAGATTGGACTGACAACCACAGTTCCATTCTTAGTCAGGTACTTCATACAAATATTACCAGAATCAGGTTCGTACCCCCGTCTATCCATCCTAATATCCTCAACTACAGAGGACCAAAAAAGATGAAGACCTTTTTTATGTGTATAGCTAAGGAGTATTTCTTGCAAAACAACTGAACAGTAAGTCATACTTAGCTATGGTGGCCACAAAAATAGTCACGTTATCACTCTTTTTGCACAGATTTGACTCAAAAGTATGGGACTCATGTACACGTTTAGGATACTGGAAAAGATGCGTAAAAATTTTGCCATGGCATTATAAATCTAGGAAATTAATCACTCCACAACTGCATCAAGCAGAAAAGAAGGTAACTAACTTGATACAAAGATAGATGATTAACAAAAACTCTATGATTCTGAAAGATTCTGCAAATAATTTATAATTTTACAAAATTAGGTTCAGTAATAATTCACGTGTGGCAATACGTGTGATGTAATTGAAAATACATGGTGTGTCATACTTTCTCTTTTTATTCTTGCCCCTAATCTGGGGGTTTTTTGAAACACCAATAACAGGTTGGCTTAAGATGGATGCATCCCAGGGTCTCATAAGATGTCATCTAGGTAAATTCAATGATTGGTTTTGATGAAGCCAACAAGATACAGGAAGGGTAGCATGATGAGAAATTGTTTAAGCAAAAAGACAATAGCGCCAGGGATCAAAAAAGGACACCTTTAGTCTTCATTATGGAATCAATTGACTTGGGCCTTTGCAGCTTGAAGCATCTCAACTATGAGAGTTTTTACATCCCTGCAAAAGTTGGGAAAAGAGAAAAATGAGAAACTGACCAGCCAGAAGGAAGCAACACAACCCAAACAAGGCACTGACTATCGCAGTCAAATCTATATTTCCAAATCCAAGGGACTAAAAAAAGTAGAGCACTTAAAACATACATTATGATCTTAAATCTCATAATAGGAGAAAATGCAGGCAGAGAAATATGATAGGCCTCTGTTACAATGTGCCAACGTATACTTGTTACTATCAAAAAGTCA